TCTTATGCTGAGGTCTCAAGATCGGCCAACCTTATAGATTCATCTCCCAACAAAACTCCATCCCAACAAAGAGTGTCCCACAAGAAAACAGTCCATCTCAAACCTAAATCACATGCTCCCCTCTCTCCTAGCTATGATAAGAAGGCCCATCGGGCCCTTATCCGAGACTACTCTTTCTCCCCATCTAAAAATGGTTGCGCTTTCCCTGTGGAATCCGGAACCAATACTCGTAGCTCCAAGTACATCCTAAATATAGTCTCTGATATGCTCATGGCAGTACTAGCAAACCCTGCCCAAAACATACCTGACCACGTCGCACACAAACTTTCTACAATTCTAGATTATATCTGTAACATTCCATCCTCTAACACTTCTTCAGTGGAACGTGAAGAGTACTCTTCCCAGGAAGAGGGACTTACTCCATTTAATTAACAAATTCAAGCCATCAATTTGTTGACGTTTTAACTTCATCTTAACCCAGAAGCGGAAAATGACTTGACTGGGGTAACGCGTATAGAAAAGACTGCTATTAAAGAGCAAACTAACACCGCTAAGTAGGCAGTGATGGGGAAATAATAAAAAACCTCCCGAGATGCCCCTGGTCACAAGACCAGGCAGGAAAAAATGCTTCATCGAGAAAACATTCTAAAGAAATACGAAAATAAAAAACTTGGCTCTTAAAGCACAAGCCTCAACTATGCGGAAGTAAGCCAAGCCTTGTCGCCAAAAAATTATAAATGCCGAGATGTCTAAACCATCTAACTATGCATTTAATCAACACCGACAAAAAATCATCCCCACAAAGAGTGTCATATAAAAACTGTTTTCCTCAAACCCACATCCCAGGCCCCTCTTTCTTCTAGCTACAATAAGAAGGCCCAGCAGGCCCTTAAACATGATTACCCCTTTTCTCCATCTCAAAACGGTAGAGCTTTCTCTGTGGAATACAAAAGCGACATTCATAACTCCGAAAACATTATAAATATAATTTCCAGAATGCTCATGGCAGTGTTATCTAACTCTGCTCAAACTGTACCTGACCACGTTGTACATAGACTAGCATTGATGGCGGAAAAATCAATCTCATATACGGAAGCAAGCCAAGTTTTCCCAACCGTTAAAAGGTCTTATGCTGAGGTCTCAAGATCGGCCAACCTTATAGATTCATCTCCCAACAAAACTCCATCCCAACAAAGAGTGTCCCACAAGAAAACAGTCCATCTCAAACCTAAATCACATGCTCCCCTCTCTCCTAGCTATGATAAGAAGGCCCATCGGGCCCTTATCCGAGACTACTCTTTCTCCCCATCTAAAAATGGTTGCGCTTTCCCTGTGGAATCTGGAATAAACATGATTACTCCTTTTCTCCATCTCAGAATGGTAGAGCTTTCTCTTTGGAATTCGAAACCAACACTCATAGCTCCAAAAATATTTTAAATATTTTTTCCAGAATGCTCATGGTAGTGTCAACCAAACCTGCTCAAACTGTACCTGACCATGTTGCACATATAGTAGTTACTGGTACTATTGTACCCGTTTTAATAAATATAGAAACATAGGAGAAACTACTAACAAGAATGTTTTCGAAAGAACCGCAGTGCTAAAATTGGGAATATATACCAAACAAAACATTGTGTCCTTTTATTTGGAAAACAACAGAGACAAAAATGAAAATCATTCAGATTGCTTTTTTATGAGCAAATCCGAATTAGAAAAAGAAATAAAGAAAACATCCAGATTTTCTCTGGATGTGGAAAAGTGATTTGGGCATACTAGCCAGAATCACTGAATATTGATTCACCTTCTTAGATGAATCGGAAAACAACCTCTCCCAATGGTAACAGACTGGCAACCAACCCAGACTGTAATAAATAAATTAATATCCCAAAAGACTTTCTCTCCCTCAGGAAAACCTTACAAATTATACCATGAATTTTGAATCCAAGAGTAGAAAAGACCCAGGCTCCCCAACCGTCTCTCACTATCACTCACAAATCAATTAAAATAACAAGACAAAACAACCACGATAATAAAAATCTATGCTCTTAAAGAACAAACCAACACCGTGAAAGGCAGTGATGGGGAAATAATAAACAACATCCAGTTTGCCCCTGGATGTGGAAAACCAAAACGAACTAAATGTTATTGAATTAAATATTATAAAGAACAGTGCAGTGCACTGTTGCCAGACATCCCGATTTTGGCGGAACATCCCGATTTCTGAATCAAAATAAATATCCCACACGGTACAGGTTTAGTCCCGCTTTCGGAGATAACTTGAGAACTGCTTTCATAAACGCATTTTATTTTGAATTTAAAACAGTTGGATGTTAGAGATAAATGCTCAATAAAAATGAAAGCATCCAGTTTAATCTAGAGTTATCCTGCACAGAGTTCTTCATGTTTATTAAAGAGAAAAACGAAACATAAAAAAGAAAAATATCATGAATATTCATGAATATGTAATTCTTATAGTTACTCAAATAATTATTCCGTTATGGTAAGTTATAATTTGTATGACTCCGACTATTATTGGAAACACTGTTTTCTCTAAAAAGTAAAATGTTTTTTTTAATTTCTCCTTTTTAAAAGGCTAAGAATTAAAAATTGGCCAAAAAATCTGGCAATGCAAGTGTAGTGGTTCAATTGTTGTTACTTTCAGTACATATTCACATCTTGCTTCAGAAACTTAACTACTGGTGTACCTAACCCATGTATGATTTCTATCATATTTAATTTCTTGGAAGGATCATATACATTTGTTTTTTTATTTACTTTATTAACTCAAATTGTTTAACTATGTATGAAATGAAGTGTCAGGCATTCCCTGTATTTCAAAACTAGGTAATTGCACTGTCATGGCCAAGTAGGCTTTTATTAATTTTTTTTTTCTTTTACACTTTTATAGGTTGACGTTTGACCACCATCTCGCTTGATGGTAAGCGATGATGTGGCCGTTTAGATACAAAAAATATTCCATATCTCTTGTTATTGTTAATTTTTTTAAAGTTGTTATTGAAGAGGGGCCTAACACAGACACATCTTGCTTAATAGGAATCCCTAACAAGATCACCCAATTTATTTACAAATTGCAATAATAAAAGCTTTTATCATTTCATTCCATATATAAGAGCCAGCATAACTTTGTTACCTTGATGAACATGATTTGTGTTACCGTTAAACAACTAAAACTCTATCCCAAACCTTATTCTTGAGGTTTTACACCATCCCAGTTGACAATATCCTTATTAAACCACATGTATTGCCCTCGAACGGAGTCCGGAGCATCCAGGGCCAAGTAGAGAGGTGCGATGGCTCCCTCGTCGATACTGAGTGGTCCCTTATGTGAAGACATGTCCGTTGCCACATACCCAGGGTGCACCGAGTTCACTTTTATATCTGTTGAAAAGAAATGTTGTTCAAATACACACCTTAATTACACTGACATAAAATAGATTTTTATACCCTTCATTTTTGTCAGATAGATAATAAATGTGATAGGCCTTATCTTTAATTTTATCCATTTTATAATCTTGTTATTTGTATAGTTAGGTACTTATAAGATAAGCAAGGCAGTTTGTTTTTACTTGTTACCAAGCCATTTTAAAACTGTCTTGTCATCATGTGTTCACATTTTTCAGATTTTAATATGAGACATCTTTGAATAAATTGATTATTGGCCCATACTTAGATACTTTAGGTTACTATACTGATCACTTACCTCTATCACTCAACATCCTCTGTTGAATATTAGTCAGTGCCGTGACGCCAACTTTAGAGACAACATAAGTAGACTTTCCCCACTCCTCAGCATGCGTGCCCTTCTCAGTAGCGTCTATAAATTGCTGCATCAGCTTTGAAAGCTCTTCAACGGTTAACTTTTCGTCCTTGAAACGTTCTCGAAGTGCTAAACTGGGAATATGACTCAAATGTGCTGCTGAACTGGAAATGTTAATGACTCTCGCACCATTCTTCAGTATCGGGAACAGAATATCACACGTGGACACCAGGGAAAAGTAGTTTACGAACAATGTTTCCTTAGCTTGCACGGCTACCGGCTCAGGAGCGCTACCTTTGAACGCTATAGCTGCATTGTTCACCAAAATATCAATGCCTTCATACTTTTTCTTGAGGTAATCCCTGAATGTTTCAAGGCTCTGCTTGTCCGTTACATCCAGTTGATGAAATTTAGGATGTAAACCTTCCTTCTCAAGATCGGCAACCGCTTTTTTACCGCGTTCTACATCTCGCGAAGTCAAGTAAACTACGCCATCAAAACGTTTGCAGAGACCGCGGACTATTGCGAATCCGATGCCTTTATTCGATCCAGTTACTATAGCTACTTTTGCCATTTTGCAGAATTATTTGATCTGCTGAAAATGTTGTAATTGCACAAAATAAACAAACCAAGTTAGAGTCACCGGCACCGGTCACGTTGGTCACGTTTGGTCACATTCTGGTTAAACTTGTCCAAAGAGAATTGAGAACAAAATTATTTAACTTTTTTATCTTGTCTATGAACTTGTGAGTAGTCCACTGAGTAGTCTGACTTGCTTGACTGGCTTACAGAAATCCACTGAGCAACGAAGCGCTGAGTGATATTTATTTAAACATAGCGGTGAGTGCCGAGTGGTCTTTTATCAATCCCTAAAACCTGATAAGAAGACACAAATAGGCACTATACATTTCTTATCTCAGCGGCTTCTATCTTTAGTAAACAGACATTAAATAATTTAACCAACGTTTCGTAAGTTTTGTTAAATACTCAAAGTCATAAGTCCCCTATACTTATTATATTTATACTCTTTGTCATAGGTACAAGAAGGTGCATAAATCCATTCTAAAACAATGTCCTTGATTTTTTGATAATTCACCTATCTTACCAGTGATCACTGACTTCTATTGTCAGTGCCAGTGATTTACATTCACAATGCTGACAGTCTGACATTTGACAAATTGACATTTGACATCATTGAAAGTGTATGTATCGTAAATCATTACGAATTTGAGTTATTAGATCTTTCTTCACGGTGTTTTCTAAATATTTTGGTGTAAAATGGCTTCAAAAGTAGCTGTCGTAACAGGAGCTAATAAAGGCATTGGATTTGCGATAGTACGTGGCCTTTGCAAGCGTTTTGATGGTGTAGTTTACCTTACTTCACGAAATATTGAGCGCGGTAAAAAAGCCGTAGCTGACCTTGAGAAGGAAGGATTAAAACCGAATTATCACCAACTGGATATTACAGACAACAAAAGTTTGGAAGTATTTAGAGACTACATTAAGAACAAATACGGCGGAATTGATGTATTGGTAAATAACGCTGCTATTGCATTTAAACATAATGCTACTGAGCCGGCAGCCGTGCAAGCTAAGGAAACTTTATTCGTTAACTACTTTTCTCTGGTTTCCACATGTGATATCTTATTCCCAATCCTCAAAAATGGTGCTCGAGTTATTAATCTGTCGAGTTCTTGCGGTCAACTAGGTCTTATTCCAAGTAAAGAGTTAAAAGAGCGTCTTAAAGATGAGAAATTAACTGTTCCGGAGTTGTCAGACCTGATGCAACAGTATGTGGATGCTGCTCAGCAAGGAACACAGGCTGCTGCGTGGGGGAACTCTTCATATGTGGTGTCTAAAGTTGGTGTGTCTGCACTGACTAATATACAACAGAGAATGCTGGAGAGCAGAGGTTTGTAACATTTGTTGTTTTTATTTGAACTTAGTTTACAAATGGAGTTGTCATTACTAAAATGTAGGGTCAGAGTGTAGCAAAGGGTGTGCAAGAGATTTGGGACCTTTAAGGGTAATTTTCAGGCGAACCTGAAGCCGTACATAAAAAGTGCCCAGATCATTTACGCCTTATTCTTAGATATTGTACTCATGTGTAGGTATATATTATAATTATATTTATTTATGTATGTATATCTCCGAAATATATTAGTTGTTAAATAAAATCACTGCTTGCCTCTTGCACCTACCAATTACTCTTCTCTGCATCACCCAAAGGTCAGACTGGTAGAAAATGCCTGCAGCATTAAGTCCACCTTTTTGTACATTTTGTGCATGAAGCATATTAAATAAATAAATAAATAAAATAAAATATACTAAACGATAGAAATGAAAAATCAGCAATTTATAATAACACTCATTTTATTATTTTTTCGGCTTATGTAATATTTTAGGCTTACTAACATAATAATTTGACGAGGAACTCCGAGGAGCCGAAAACATAATAATTTATTTAGTATGTCTCACAAAACTTACAATACAATTCTCATTTTGATGACAACTTTTCTAAGTCCTAAACCTCTTGCACACCATTTGCTACACTTCAACTAAATGTAGCAATCAGCATCAATCACATCAAAACTGGATTTTGGGCACAAAGACCTAAACACTCCTTATTGGCCAGCATGTTGGCAGCACAGTTGACATTTCAAAAGTACTTTGAGCATTTCAACAAATTGCTTAAATAATTTTATTCAAAGAACATATGCAGAGGTACTTGTTATTTCGCAACTAACTAATCTGTTTATACACCCGAGCGTACGGCGCGTCGCGTTCCGCGCGCGCCTCAAAGAGCCATCAGACCACCACAGATGGGGCCCAATAGGGCCGATGCCGATTCGGAGTCGCGGAGAACCTAACTGGTAACCGGGGCTCCGGCTCGACGTGCAGGAGAAGGAACGGGGTGGTTTTTAGTCAGTAAGAGTCTGACACGCCCTTCCGCCTCACCCAGGCGGGAGACGTCATTCGATGATTTTCCCCCTTAAAAAAAAAAAATCTGTTTATACAAAAACTTTGAACTAGACTCCTTGCCAGTATTGAAAATTTAAAATTTGAAAAACTATGTAACACTGCCAATTCATAGATTCAAATCCCCAATCAGACAGCAATGAAATAATTTCAAATTATCTATATTTATTTTCAGATATTAAAGTGAACTCGGTGCATCCTGGCTATGTTGATACAGACATGACTTCCCACAAAGCTCTAGATGCTCCAGACTCAGTCCGAGGAAAATTTGTCTGGCACACCACAAAGATTGTTGACTGGGACTCTGAGAATCCTTTGTAAATAGTTAACATAACATAACATGAGCCTTTTATCCCCAAAGGGGTAGGCAGAGGTGCACACATAAGTAACACCCACTTTTCACTATTTATGTTATGAGTCCCATGTAATAGGGGGATAAGCCTATTGCCATATACTGGGCACATTTCCAGGCTCATCCCTACTACTAAGATTTAAAAAAAAAACCCAGTAATACTTTGCCCGGCCTGGTAATCGAACCCGAGACCCCTTGCCCGGTAGTCGCACTTGCGACCACTCGGCCAACGAGGCAGTGTAATTAGTTGTAAGGTCTAATTTGGCTTTAACTAACTGTGGATTCAAAAATTGCAAATGATATGCTTAATATTATAATTCTAAGAGTAGATAATAAACTGATTGTGATACAATGTGCTTTATTACGGTCCAAGACCGCATTGCAAATACATATTTTTTATAATTTTGAAGAGATCAATATGTTATTCAATAACTCAATAATCTAAGCTTTTATTATTACTTTATAATTTTTTTTTGGGGTTGCCAGGAATAAAAAACATTCAGTAATGATAATGTTAAAGAATATTCTTTAAAACAACATCCTACTCTATTAGTGGAAAGTTTGGGATTACTTCTCCTACCTTTTTCTCCTAACCTGGTTACCCTATTTCTATGTTTAAGTAATATATCGAAATAAGTATGTATGTATACTTGTACATTTCATGTCCTAATATACAAGTACTTTGTAATACTCTTATCGTTAATATAAAAATAACACAAGCTTTATTTACTTGTTTTATTTCAGATTTAATTTTTTCAAATACTCTACTCGGGCAGTTTTGTAATTTTTACAGAATGATTAACAAAAAATGTAATGATCTGTCGGATCCACTCCAAAATTTTTTGCTACAGGTTGCGCTTGTGGCCACTCGACAACGACAACTACAGACATACTTCAATCAATTCTCAACTTTATTACAGAACTATCTACCATGAATCAGTGACGCTTCGCCGATTGTCTTGTGGTACGATGATGGAAAGGACTTGGGAGAAACCAGTTGTGGAATTCCCCGCACACTCGCCGAAATGTACGATTATAATGTTGAATGAGAGAGATAGCGATAAGGATGACGGTGCTGATCAACTCCGTAAAGTAAACGTTGCTTCCAATCACGTCGGGGTCACCACTTTAATTAAGGAACAGAGGCCTTAGTACGAATTTGTTTAAGTTGAAAGTAATCGAAACGAGTATGCATTCGGCGCTGTGACAAACCAACCAATCAGGGGGCCAAGCACGAATAACTATCGCATTCGTATCGTAACAGTATCGAGCGAGTTAAGCGTTCTGATTGGTTGGTTCACTTGAGCCGGCCAATCAGAGCGCCGAACGCGCTCGATACTATTACGTTATGAATGCGATAGTTATTCGTGCTTGACACTCAGAGCGTCGGACAAGATTTCGTTTCGATTACTTTAAACGAAAAAGAAACTCGTACAGAGAGTAATGTTCCCTAAAGGCAACTACACACATGCCCGCGGCAATGCCGCCGGGTTCATGCCGAGCGGCTATGGCGCCGGCAATACAAAGCACAAGCCGCACAAAGCCGTCAAGCATCATTCCGGTTGTGACAGTCACATAGAACGCTAGTGAAGCGAAAATGTTTTACTTGCCGGCGGCTCCTTTGTATGCCGCCGGCACTGTGTGTAGGAGCCTTAAGATCGGGAAAAGAGGATCTTCCGACCAGACGAGGTGTTCATGCCTGGCGGGCTTTCTGCCCAACAGTTCTTCCTACTTTAGAAGCAACCTGTATCTAGCAGTTCTTTGCGACCTTTATATTGTGGTGAAATAATAAAACCCAATAAACACAATTCCACATTTTTAATTAATAAATAAAAAACACAATAATCCTCTATCATTAAGAGATCACTAAATAACAATTTCATAATTAACAAATAAATTAAAATTAATTTATATCACTACTCCTAATAGGAACACTATTGTGAAGTTGTCCGGATACTTTTAAATACAACATACTTAAATATTAAAAATACTATTTATATTATTCAGATCTAGAAACTAAGCTGTGATTCCAAATATTTAGAGGTACCTAAGTCGTCGTGCGTAGTTATGGTTACTACCTTCTGCTGGTTGGGCGTTCAGCTGTCCGCCATACCATTGGTTGTGAGAATTATGTCGACCAATGACGGGCGAGAATTCGATCGAGCTTACTTCGATCTTCCAAATTGGAAGTTACACAATAGAACTTCACGCCTAGAAGTTCTTGGCAAGAATTGCTCATGGTTTCAACACATTTAACGAATGGAGTTTCTTGCTCGTTCTTCTCCATTCGAATCTACTTTTTGGTATGAGCACCTAGCTTCACCTAGTTTCACTGACGGACTGACTGACAGACTATTATTTATTTTGTATTTGCTGGCGTTTCAAAAGTACCAAACTATGGTTTAATTGAAATAAATGCTTTGACTTTGATTTTAAAAACTGACATACTAATTCAAAGTTGTCCGAATAATTTCGAGCCACGCTGGGGCTCTTAATCATGAGCTGCTGCACGACTTGTTGCACAACCAGGCTCCCAGCGCCATCTGTCGCATCCGGCACGAACTTTCTTCTTTCAGTGTTGCTGCGGCCTGACACGCTTGGCTCGTTCACCGTTGAGCTCCCGTTGGTGTTAGGTAGGATTATCTACACGCGCAGCTCATGATAAAGGGTCCCGATGTGGTTGGAAAATAGTCGGCGGTCGGTCGAACGAATTAGTATACCTGTGTGACGCCTGAATACTGACAGGGTACTCAATTTTAAGTTGTAGTTATATATCGTGCCATCTCTATCATTTTGCAAGGAATTTGTAGAGACATATTAAATATATTTGTATTATAACTTTCGTGAGACATACTAAATAAATTATTGTTTTCGGCTTACTCACGTAATTATTTGACGAGGAACTCGACTAATTTCAAACCATGCTAAAGGCTCATATTCATGAGCAGCATTTCGCGACCCGCGACGCGGCGACTGTCGCGCTGCTACTGGCTACTCGAGTGTGCGCCCAGCGAGCCCTCTGCCGTGATTCCCGCGCACGCAGCTCCACTCGTGGTATGGAGGGCGGCGGTGTTGCGACACTGTTGGTACGCTGGACTCGCCCGCCGGCAGCTGCGTTGGTGTTGGGTTCGAACCCCGGGTTGACGCAAAAACAGTGTTACATACGAGTTCCTCGTCAAATAATTACGGGAGCAAGCCGAAAACATAAAAATTTTGAAAGAAATATACTTAAGTGGGATTTAAAGGTTAGTAGCCATTCAGTATTCGGGCATGAGCCGTATAAAAACTAAAGTCTGTACCCTTAATCGTTAAAAAACTACCTAGTGCATTGTAATCAAGTTAGTCCCCCCCCCACTACATCTGTCATTTGTCAATCAAGGTCTCTTCTTAAATATTCCTCATGTGCTAATCTGTCTAAACCATCCATTTGGAAACCTGACAAGTCATCATGTCGTTATCTTATAAGTCAGCTACCAAATAACTGTGCACACTGTACAGTGCGTAATAAACCTTATACAAATGTAAATAAAGATAACTTTAAAGTATCCAGACAAATCCTAAATAACTAACAAATTGTAAAATAGACTCGTATCATTGAGATATAAGTTTATTAAGAGATCTAGCATTTAAGAAGCCTAAGTTATTACTCTTTGCCATTCATATTAAATACTAAACTTATTGCTGCATTTTGGCAAACAATTCTCCCTTTCTTCTTGTATAACATTGAAAAAGCTATTCAGAATTGAACTCTATTGCAATACATTAAAGTCACAAATTGAATATCTTCAAAGATTACTATTTGGGCATATTTTAACAATTGAACTACCAAACTCGATTTTACGACTAAGATTTTAAAGTCAAATTTTCTTTATCAATAACAGCAGCACAATATATTTCTCTAATCTAGCTTAGCTTAGTCCTATTAGCTATCGAATTACATTTAAGAAAAAAAAAATGGTACCTACATGCCACTACATGTACAAAAGTAATTCGAAATACCATTTAGAAATCAAAAACTAATCTCCTATCCGACTCGGGCATGCATTGCTCCGCTAAACAAATAGCATTAACACTACTTGAATAGAACAGACAAGTCAATATGAACAGTTTGACTTTAAGTGAATGTCAGCTCCATCATCCGTGCATTAACTTTCCTTTGGTTCGGGCCATGGTGCCGATCGAGGGAAACTGGGATGCCGTGCGCCTCCTTCTGCGAAGCAGTCAAGCTAGCTATGGAGAAGGCGGAGCGCGCGAGGGTTTAAACCTCCCCACATCCCAACTGCCGCAGGATACATGCAGGGATCGAGCGATCCGACCTGACTGGTGCCAGACAGCCAGACCCGAATCTTCGGACCACCGAGGGTCCGCCCAGCTCGAAACAAAAGTAAGAACGGGGTGGTCTTTAGTCAGTAAGAGTCTGACACTCCCTCTTACCTCATCCAAGGTTGAATAAACCATTGGATAATTCTCCCACCTCAAAAAACACTATACTGACAGTACAGTCGACAACATTGAATAGGGGCTACCATTTTCTTTTTGCTCACCATACGGAGCTAATGTGAACCTCTCGTCTTTTCGCCCAATAGCGAATTAGCTTGTGTCACACCATTGCATTGGTTATTAAATTTTTGCCAGCTAAAGTGCTTGGACAAACTGATCTCTTGCTAAATTACCACCATCTAGTGTAGGAAAAAATGGTAGCCCCCAATTTAGACTGGGTTGCCAATAAAACAATACAACTTTTCTGTAGGTACTACTCTATTCGACTAGCATTTACACCATCTGTTTACCGGAGTGCCTATTGCGAATTTAGTTCACATAAACGCGATCGAAACATTATTGCATTTAGTCCTCTGTCCTCTGATTGGTTGGTTGACTTGGAGCAGTCAATCAGGGCGCCGAACGTCATAAAAGTGTCGATCGCTTAACGTAAAATAAGCCCGCTCAAAGCACTCTGTTTAGCGGAGCTAACAATATCACCTAACCCCCTACTCTCTTCGAATATCAATAAAAGTTTGAAACTGTGGAACTTCAATTTCAATATTCTGTGCCTCCTTTGGATCACCATCGTTTTCTTCAAGAAGAAGAGGGTCTGTCTCCTCTTCAGTAGGTATAATCCCTTTATTGCTGGAAATAGGGGGTGGGGGTTCCCAATTGAGGGTGTTGTGTATATTGTTCTGTATAATCTTCTCCTTGTTTAGTTTCCTCTGGGCCTTGATCTCAGCTCGTGTCATGTTCAGGTGCTTCAGCTGGTAGTGCACCTTGACGTAGGGCTGTGTTTTGAAGAGTAAGCCACACTCCTTGCAGGGGTACATCTCGTTGGAATGACTCTTCTTGTGTCGGTTTAGTACTTGCTTGTTCTGTGAAAAGGATTTTTCTGTAAGTATGCACATACTTGCGGTTAAGAATAATGAGACACGAATTTATGTTTTTATTTTGGTCATTAGCTGTCGGAAGATATTGATTAAGTAAAGTTTTTGCTACTACACTGGAGAATTTAGAGCTACTTTTATGGACTTTGTTACAAAACGACAAAGATGTGTCTGTATTAATAATTAGGTTTTAAAGCAGTTTGATGTGGCATTTCAAATCTAGATGAACATCTTATTTAAGGACGTATCTCTTCAAATTTTTTGTGGTACAAGCCCTCCACTACCTCCCAAACTAATTTGGTTCAATTTAGTTTAAATAACATCACAATTAAATCAGCTTTCCAAAAAACCTACATAATATGTCCAATATGTCCTATATTCTTACCAATTCACCACCGAGCAGCAGATCTCCACCGAAGACCTCATGAAAGCCAGCTAACGAATTCCAGGACCGCGACTACGGAAATCTCCACGGCCCTGGAATTCGATGGGAGGCAATCATGCTTCATGATGCAGGATCTTCAGTCTTCCGAATCTCCCAATGATGTAGAACTACATGTTCTTGACTTCTAAAATTCGTATTTGGCAACATAGAAGTATGTCAGAGATTGTTCTTGAACTTATCACATGGCACTATACAGTTTGATCAGCAAATTAAAATGGACTTACCGCAAATGCCTTGTCGCAGTGATCACACTGATGGACTCTGGGCGGAGGCTGGGACTCGTGGAACCTGGCTTTATGGCTGCGGAGCAACGAGGGGCTTCTGAAGATCCTACCGCAAGGACAGGCATGTCCTCCACGGATCTCGGCTGGCATGTGAGACCACATTATGTGCGAACGAACCTCGCCCTTCGTCAGGTAGAGACGTTGACAATGGTCGCATTGGTATCTGCGCAAGAATTGCTGATGAAACATACTAGAACTAGTAATAGAAGAGAGGAAGTTTCTTTATCGGATAGGAGGTAAATGGACATTAACAACATCAGTGGAGCAACAAGCCGGACTTTTAATAAGACATACACACTTTCCTGGAAGATTGAAGGTTGTTTTGGAGACTAGTCACAAAAAGTGAGGAGGGTATCATCATCAGCTCATTTCTGTCTACAGCTGGGCATAGATCTCTCCTCGAATGTGGCTGGCACTGGCAGTGTTAATGTGTAATAACTAATCATAATTACTATGACTATACCATTGGCCGAGTGGTCGCAAATGCGACTGCAGGGCAAGGGAGTTCGATTCCCGGGTCGGGCAAAGTATTACAGTATTTTTTTTTAAATCTCAGTCGTAGCACAGAGTCTGGAAATGTGCCCGGTATATGGCAATAGGCTCACCCCCTATTACATGGGACTCATAACTTAAAATAGTGAAAAGTGGGTTACATTGTACATTATTTATTTATTTATTTATTTATTTTTAACAGTCACAACGGCATAAAAATCCAATAACAGTAACTGATACAACAATAAAACACAAACAAAAGAAAAGTAAAACTTAGTTAAAACAAGGGTTAACACCATTCATGAGTTTCTCTCGCAGTACTACAGTGGCATTAAGTGCCGTAATGTGCCCCTCTATGCGAAGTTATGTTACGTTAATTACTATGAATGCAAGACTCACTTCTTGGTCCTGTCAGCATGCATGCGTTGTATGTGTCGCTTGAGCATCGCCCGCGTCACGCACACCCGCTCACAGTGGGGACACGTCTCCTCAGCCACGCTGTGAAGTAAATATATTTTGACAATGGTCTTTCAACTTTAACTTTGTGTTATAAAGCTGTAAATGTATTGAAGCTTTGTCTGTATATTATGAATTATTTGCGTATCCCGTCCAAATAAGTGAGCGAGTTTAAGGGCTCGTGTGACGATGCCGTCTCCGTGCCGCTGCCGTCGCGCCGCCGAGCATACAGCGAACGTATACACAGCATCGCGGCTCGGCGGCGGTGCGACAGCGGCGCGGTGGCGGCGTCATATACACAGCATTACGGAGTCGTCTACACGAGCCCTAAGAGACAATTAAGAAAATAAGTATGTAGCATCACACTGTATCCCCTGGTGAAACAGTCTGAGCAAACATTTAACGTTACACCCACTTTCGTCACGTATAAATCCCATCAAATACTAGGGCGTGATACATCGGGTGTCAGACACAATAATACATTACCCGACCGCAGAATTCAACCGACGAAGACTTCTAACTCGGCACCCACAATTTTTAACAAGCAACTTCTGGGAAAGTATAAAATAGATATTTCAAAGACTCACCCTTCATATTTTTCATTGTGTTCCTTCAAATAATGTTCACCCAGCGTGATCCTGTTCTTACACTTCACGAAACATATTCGACAGTAAGAGTTATGGTCGTGTGTCAACAGATGGCGTTTTAAGCTCGATTTAGTTTTGTAGTCGCGCGAACAGATGGTGCACGTGGCAGGTAACTTCACCGTCTTCGCTTTTACTTCCTCGTTGTGCGTCCTATATTGATTGCAATAGAAATTATTTATCTGTTGATTCGTGATAAGTTGGGACTTAATAAAGTGGGATAAGAGACGCTGTGTCAGCCATGTTGCTGGGCGTCAATCTTGTCATTACATACGTTTTCTCCATTTTTCGCCATATTATACATAATTTCGAAATCATTAATTAAGCCCGGACATAAAACTTGAGTTCTTAACACAGACCACGCAATTAGGAAATAAATTTCCGAGGGATAATGTATAAAGAAATATGAGCAAGTACCCTGATAAATTTGAAAGATATAGGCAGGATAAGGCTAAGGATAAGGAATTTGGTTATTTAATTTTATTTATCTGTTTACTATGCTCACATTCCATGCCATTTCATTTAATAAAAAAAAATTAGATCCCTCAGCGGTCTTCACATATAATCTTACAGAACTCCGCTGAAACAGGAGAAAACCAATTGACGCATCAAAGAAAAAGAAAAAAAAATGATATTAAATTTTATAATCATCGTCGTTGCTTAAAAACCCCGCCATTTTACAAAATGGCGGTTAAAATAAAAATTAGCGCCATCTATGATAGAATTTTATCGTTTAGAAGTGTCAAAGCCTATTGACATAAAAATATCGTTGAGTTGTTCTATGTGGTCACCACGGAATTCACTGAAACAGATTATAAACAAAATAGTTATGCATCAAACATACAAAATATATGTTTACCAAATCATAATGTTAATGTTTGTAAAATTTGACTTACCTTAAAGTTAAAAAACAAGTTAGTCACAAAGTCACAATAAGAGAAACACAATTATCACCAAAATATTGTGCGAATTTGATATACATAAAGAAATTTAAGTTTATAATATCAATAATAATTTTCCGCAGCTAAACAATAAATTAAATTAACAATCACAACTCTGCATTCCACTCACTTTTACCGTATTTACACACCGATGTTTTCTATTTTAGGGCCATACATGTACAATAAAATTAATAAAGAAATTTTAGTTTATAACTGACTGAAACCCCTTCGGGGATAAAAGGCGTGATGTTATGTTGTGTTAGTTTATAATCTAAATTACACCAGAGCAATACAACTCATTTCTCAGTATCTGCTGCTGCATCATTAAGTTACAAACAAATCGAGAATCTGTTGATTGTCATTAAATAGATAATACGTATTTTAATAAATTTCGAGATTAATATTTAAAACCAGGCGAGGAGGTGACCAAACGGCATATTAAATATATATATAAAAAATGACATGGTTAACCTCAACAATAATATTTTTACAATCACTACATTTTACAATCTCTACATTTTTCAATGTAGTGATTGTAAAAATATTATTGTTGAGGTTTAGTAATATTATCCATATAGTATAATGCATGACACCAATTCTATACAGGCATAGTATTGTAAGCTACCTAGAATATTTACTTATACTTAAATTAATATATACTTATAGTTAAATTAATATTTACTTATAATTAAATTAATATTTACTTATAATTAAATTAATATTTACTTATAGTTAACTTAATATTATTAACTAAATTGTTGTTTCGGGTCTAGGTGTCTTTGTGTTTGTGAACTTGTATGTTTGTAAACGCACCCACGACACAGGAGAAAATCCTAGAGTGGGGCAACGTTTTTTTAAAATAAAAATAAAAAAATAAATATTTACTTATAGTTAACTTAATATTTACTTATAGTTAAATTAATAAGCTTAGATTAAGTAAATGTGAACAAAATGCAAACACATTTGTTTGTTCGTTTACATATGTCAACGGTTCAGAAGTACCTACACTTAAGTTAATTTTACGAAGTCTTCAACTCCAATCAATTCGCTGAAACAGGATCAGACAAGATTAATGTACCAAACCTAGCGAATAACAAAATCAAGTGACAAAATACTGATATTTTAACTTTACAAAAAAAGAGGAAACCACTATTTTGTCACTAAACATATATGTATATATATATGTATATATGGTTGACTGGTAGAGAATGCCATATGGCATTAAGTCCGCCTTATGTGCCATAATAAAATTGTGTACATTAAAGACTAAATAAATAAATAAATATGTGTTCAATTCACTCGCGACACTAAAGTTTATAATAATAAAGTGGTTCAGATGTTCATGCTGCGTGTTCATCCTTCAGAGTGGTGTTACTTTCTTGTTTTAAACAAATATGGCCGCACTCTTGGATCCTTGCAACAATTTATATTCCGTACTTAATGGAAAATACATAAATAGTGAACAGTGGCTGTTACACTGTACAGTGGTATAATGTGCACCTCTGCCTACCCCTTCGAGGATAAAAGGCGTTATGTTATGTATGGGAAATACCCGTGACACAACGCACACCCCAGCCGTAACTCATGAAACATAAAGTGAATCAACAACATATTTTATTAATTGGAATAACGGCTTACTCATGTGAACTATTTGCGACAAGCTCTACAACATTCAAGTTAAATCGGGACTCATATTCATGAGCCGCGCCACTCGTTGTCACTCGAATATTTCACGTAAACAAGCCGTATATTCCAATTAATTAGTGTAGTCAACCAAGCTAATTAGGTTAGAAAATAAAAATTGATTCAGTATAAAGCAACCATTGGTTGACTACTGCTAGCCTATTCTATAACTTCCAATTGTAAAGATTGAAGTGAGCTCGATCGCTGTCTGCCATATAAGAAAGAAAAAATGAAAGAAAGAAATATTGTTTATTTGTTACATATCATTGTTTGTGATAATAATCTCTATCGATGACAGGCGAGAGTGCCATCGAGCTCAGTTCCAATTGATAGTTACAGGATACCCTAGCTGAGTCGACAAATAATTTGACAAGATATGACTTCGTTAAAACATCCAATTTAGTGTATTGGTACACTAAATTGGATGTTTGTAAGTTACTTTATGTGTAGTGAAAGAATCTTTATTTTCTCATCTGTATTCTAAATATCTTGGCTGACTGACATCCCCGACATTCATAATACAGAATCCATATATAGATAAAAAAAATCAACGTAGGCATAAAATCTTTCTCAACGTCATCAGGGGCCTTAAGCCTGTTAATACAATAGTTGCAAAATTTTATAACTTTGATTTCATAATACATTGCAAAATCAAACGAACAAAACTTGTAATCAGGGAGGCCGTATGCTTTTTTCTTGGTATAAAAAAAATGAAATCAATGTTATAAACCCTTGCACTTCGGCTTCAACCCTTTCTTTCTTGAAGTCGGTTAATTAAAACCTTACTAAACAATTTTTTGAAAACCGCGTCGTAATCGGTTTAGCCAATCGTGCACAAACATACATACAGATAAAACTTTGACTTGTATTGCGTATAAAAAAAAAAAGAATTGAAGTCCCCTGACTAAGGCCCCTGTATTAATAAATACATCACATCATTATTACTAATTTTTAAAAAAAATTGAAGAAAACCTCTACTAGTTTCGAGCCAATAGGGGGCTCTTACTCATGAGCAGCATGCCCGGTTACGGTATTTTCGCGCAACCTACTCTAAACTCGAAACTAGTAGAGCTTTTCGCAGTACTTTTAAGCCAGTAACCCGCATTTTTTAGTTAATTTAATGACTCACTATGTGTATTACAAAAACACATCCCATCATATTTTCAACATATCTTGGATGCTTCATGCATGTGCTATTGTAAACCTAATCCTTGTAAAACCAATAATTAGATTAAGTATATGTTAACATAATGGAAATGATTATTATTATTGTATTTGTATATGAATTCAATGGTGGCCATTGATTTGTTTTTCAAAGAGGTAGTATGTAAATATAGCGTCAGTTCGTTTTTCAACTAATAATACATGGCCCACACAGAGCCATTATAGAGAAATACTATATTTGGTAACGACCGAAATTAATGACCGATCATAATCGAGAATCTTTAGATTTGGACAGACATACATACAATACCTCACGCCAGTCTCCCATGGGGTAGGCAGAGATTATGTATGTAGTATTTATTTTTAATAGAAACAAGGAACTAATGTCATAGATTTTGTGCTGAGTTCGGTTACAAATTTCGGCCGTTAACCCTTCATACCTGATGTGGGACCGGTACCAGCCGCGCTCGTGGAACACTCGGAGGCAGACGGCGCACTCCAGGCGATGTGGCTTCGTGTGGTACTGCTCCACGTGTCTCTTCAGGTATTGAGGCCGCCTGCAGTAACCAAACGTCAATTTATCATCAAGTACACCAATACACGTTGACCAAAAACAAATCCAATTAATAACATAACATAACATCACGCCTTTAATCCCCGAAGGGGTAGGCAGAGGTGCACATTATACCACTGTACAATGTAACATCCACTTTTCACTATTTATGTTATGAGTCCCATGTAATAGGGGGTGAGCCTATTGCCATATACCGGGCACAATTCCAGACTCCGTGCTACTACTGATTTTTTTTTTTAGAACCCAGTATTACTTTGCTCTTCCCGGGTATCGAACCCGAGACCCCTTGCCCGGCAGTCGCACTTACGAGCACTCGGCCAACGAGGCAGTCCAATTAATAGTATAGCCTTTTATGTAAATAAATATCTTAAACTTATTTATGTTGTAAAATGTCAACAATAATGATAAAACAAAGAGTAATATTTCATCATCAGCAATATTCTCCCTATGGGCCTCCTTTGAGACAGTTTGGCAGGCAGCAGATTGCAGTTTAAAACGTTCCGGTTTATCAGAGAGCACTGCTGTACACTTGTACAGTCTTCATGTGGACTCTTATGAACACCAGCGGAAAGTACCAATGAAAAAAGAAATAGGAGCGAAGTGTTATCAAAAAAAAAACAATACTAACTTAAATCCCCTCCCGCAACGATCACATTCAAAAGTCTGTCCGATGTGGTCGTTCATGACGTGGCAGGCTGCCGTGTCCTTGTCCTTGAACCGCATCCGGCAGAGCAGGCACCGGTACCGGCGGTAATGCCGCAGCCGGTGCCGGTACAGCATGTCTGCCGTCTTCAGCCGGGAGTGGCAGATCACGCATTCGTGTTCACCCGATTCCTATATTAATTTGAGATGATTAGAAAAAGTCAAGTAAAGTTTGATTTTCTTGAAATTCTAAGAAAGACATCATGATTAGTATATTATTCTAAGAAAGACATCATGATTAGTATATTATTCTAAGAAAGACATCATGATTAGTATATTAGTATATTAAGCACAATAAAAATAAAGCCTTCGCAATGCTGAGAAAAACAGATGGACAAAACAAGTACACATTTTTATTAAACAACCTTTTTTCAAGAATGAAATACCTTATAAAAAAATAATTACCTTTTTTATTGGTATTGGTACGCGCTTGGCCGCTATCTCACGCGGTGGTTACCTCATATACTTACTGGAGCATGCACCTTCATATGATCATCATAAGCCTGTTTCAGCACGAAGCCGACGGCACAATTCTCGCAGACGTGACGCATGTGCTGACGAGACTTCAGCGTCTCCAAGTACTCCTGGTGACGCTCCTCATCATCAATGGTCACTATCTCTATGTTCTTGGTGATCTCGTAGGAGTACATCAGGGGGGTCTCCACTGCGGAAGAACAAGTTCGTGAATCCGCCTGAACCTTTGTAGTTTTTTTGGACGGTCTAACTACGGCGTATTTAGTAATGGAATACTATTGTTCAGCAATAGAGTTGTTCATGGTCCTAATAGCATAACTTTTGAACAGGGTATAAGGTTTACCGTAACTTACTATACGTATTCAGCGCCGTCTTAGACTATGCTTGGGCACACAGGGCACACAATAATTCAGAGCCCTTTTGGAATGTTATTTTATGTGTGGGAGAGCCATGCTTCGGCACGAATGGGCCGGCTCGACCGGAGTGATACCACGGCCTCACAGAAAACCGACGTGAAGCAACGCTTGCGTTGTGTTTCGTCGTGTGAGTGAGGTTACCGGAGGCCCAATTACCTTCCCCTTCCCCAATCTCCCCAATCCCTAAATCCCCAACGATCCTCAAACTCCTAATCCCCAAAAAGCCGGTGACGCACTTGTAACGCCTCTTGTGTTTCAGGTGTCCATGGGCGACGCAGATTGCTTACCATCAGGTGATCCGTCTGCTTGTTTACCGGCTTATGCCATAAAAAAAGTTACTTTTCTTTTAACGTTGCACCACACTTGGATTTTCTCCTGCATCGTCATAGCCCAAAGGACCAGTAAGCTGAAGTGGCAGTGGGCCGGTCACATTTGTCGAAGAACCGATAACCGTTGGGGGTAAACGTGTTCTAAAGTGGAGACCGCGTCTTAGCAAACGTAGTGTAGGGCGCCCTCCAGCTAGGTGGAGTGAAGACATCCGCAAGGTGGCAGTGGTTGGATGAGAAGAGCTTAAGATCGAGCTTAGTGGCGTGCCATTGATGAGGCCTATGTCCAGCAGTGGACGAATACGGGCTGATGATGATGATCGTGGGTGCATTTAAAAACATACAAGTTCACAGATGTTACCCAGACCCGAAACAACAATTTGTGGACCACACAAAGATTTGCTACGTGCGGGAATCGAACCCGGGAATCGAGTGTGTGTCCGTCGTAGATTTTGTCGATCCTTCGGAGTCCCCGGGGCACGGGCCATGATATGATTATGTTACTTACTCTTAGCTTGAATATTATCAGCCGGCTTCTCATTTTGTCCAGCGCCATCCTGAAACAAAACAATTTCAAACTAAAACCACGATAGTACCGAAAGCTTTGACATATAGTAAGAAGGGATTGCTACTCTTCCATCCCTAGTGACCCTCTTAAATCCGTTCAATCTTTTGATCCACCTTTTACATCCCCTTCCCCCAGTACCACCCAGATCGTCATTTCATCCACTGTATTGTCTCGCTAGCCTTCACCCTGCCCCCCTATCAACCACCCCTCTCACCCTGCAACACCCCTACCCTCCATTCATACACCCCGTGCACCCCTCCCCCTGGAACACCCCTAATTATACTCGTGTGCTAACGTAACTGTTTAAAAACTTAACGTGATGATAAGATAGCGGACTTGCACTTGCACCACCACAAAAGATTCAGTTAGGATCGAAATACTTGCGAAAGGGCAAGAGGTATCAGGTTCGATTTTAAAAAATCTTAGTTCTAGCACAGAGTCTGGTATTGTGCCCGGTACATGGCAATAGGCTCACCCATGCTCCATGTCCCCCCGGGACTCCTAACATAAATAGTAAAAAAGTGGGTGTTACATTGTTCAGTGGCGTTAAGTGCCGTAATGTGCACCTCTGCCTACCCCTTCAGGGATAAAAAAGGCGTTATGTTATGTCCCAAATATGCTCAGCTCTAACGCAGTTCCATTTACACAGATTCTACCGTCTAGACAGAAAAAAAGAGTACAAATAAACTCACCGATTTGTCTTCTTCTTTGAGGGAACAGCCATCTTCTTGCTTCACTGTCTTCTCTAGCCTCTTCTTGAGAGGCAGCTTCGATATCCCATCCTTATTTTCTTTTTCTGTAAATATCGATAGCGTTATTCAACCGCATAATTGCACGGGACTGGATATTTTAGCTACCAGGTCGAGCTTCCCTTTTATATCGCCACGCGCATTTCTTATCTATGCCTTTTTTTCGCCGCAAAATACTGAAAACCGTCATCGTTAAAACCCGCGGCGAAAACCGAATTGAAACGAACGACATTCTGTTAAATTAAAAATACTGCACAAAATTTACGTGCACTCTCGGCGAAACATGAGACTCGAATGGATGCAGGGCCGCCCCTGCACTTGATTTATACCCGACGCATAGGGCTGGGTACCGCAGCATCCCGCGCAGGTCTGTTAGGTCCCAAATATAAGTACTAAATAACTAGAACACCCGCATTTCGATCAATACAGGAAGGAAATATGCTCTGCGCAGGTTAAAGACAAAGGATGCACGCATGATGGGAGGGCGTAATTTATCTGCAGTATTGTAGTTACGTAATATGGAAGGTTCCAGAATTAAGCGCTGTGATACCTACTAATAATACTCTAGTATGATAAAAGTTGAGTTTAATGATAACTGCTGTTATTAAACTGTCAAACACCAAGCGGTCACCGGTGACCGCGACCTATTGTTCTTTAATTGTGTCTATAAAACCGGTACTCGACGAGTTAAGGGAAATGTTAAATTGATCATCCAAAAGATGTCCACTACCGAACCGGGACCTCTTTATTAGGGGTAATATAAAAATAGACTACGTCAGTACCCTGCTGGTAACAAAAAGTGACTGCCACAGTCACTCAAGGAGACATTTTTCAATGGTAAACAAGGCTTGGCTAAGTGCCAAGTTCCACCCCTCGTTCGTGCTACCAACCATGGTTGAGAAAAATGGCAGTGTAAGTAGCGAGGACATAACGTTTATTGAATCCCCTCGTTAATAGAGTCGATGCAAATATTTTAAGTGCAAAAAGCGGACGTAGGGTATTAGGAGCGTAGTTCGAACACCCGTATGCAATAAGTCCAACCAGCTATAGGGCATTGGATTTCAAAATTCTAAATTATATTGAATATATTCTAGTATGCCTGTGTCTAACCGCTCAAAGAACACCACGCGCAGTTCCTTTCCTAAAAATTATGGAATTTTAACCAGTGTTAGTCCGATTTTGAGAAGATTTTTGCTTATAAATACTACACGATACTCTAAAGGTCCCATTAAATGTCAATCGATCGATGGGAATATTGCAGCGTTCCGCGCAGGTGCAAAATGTAATAGGTCCCCGCCGCACACCCCTGCTCCTTTACTTCCTTTGAGAGGCATGGTGACCACACTTAACTACTGAAATAGGTTTTTACGGATAAAAACTATTAAGACGATTAGAGTGATAATATAACAGTACAATACGACAAACAAAGGCAGTCTTAGAGGTACTCTTAATCTTTTCTCGATATCCTGAAAATGAGGAAACTGAGTGTGCCTGCATGTGTTTTTTTTTATTAGTCGTATCACAAAGTATTTGTATATGCTTCGATAAAGTTCGGTACGAATGGGCCGGCTCGACCGGAGTGATATACCGGAGAAAACCGACGACGTGAAACAACGCTTGCATTGTGTATCATCGCGTGAGTGTGGTTACCGGATGCCCAATAGCCCCCTCCTTTCCCCAATCTCTCCAATCCCCAACAATCCGCAAATTCCCATTCCCAAGTCAGTTTATGACCAATTTAATCTTATGGTGTGGTGGTGACCATTTAATGAATGGTGGAAACACTAGTTCTATTCAAGTTATCCTAGCAAATATCAAGGCATCCTATTCTGCTAGCCGCACCCTATGCACCACGGCCGATTGGGGGATGAGGTAGGATCTCCCTACGCCCCCCTTTTGCGATCCCTCTATGTACTCATATGAAGGGGTTGGAGCCTGGAAATTTTGAATAATAACTCATTTAGGTCATCACTAATAACTTCATTATAAACAGATGGATGTCCTTTTGGTATTTTTGATGGATGTTCTTTTATCCTTGTGTGTGTGTAAAACATCTATTGTATGTAATGTACCTGTATATAATTGTATGTAAAACAGCAATTAATAAAACAAACAAGTCATTTTACACGTTACATGATTCTTGTGTAAAGTAAAGTATTATGTATAATTATCTTAATTTGACTGCACGGTTGGCGCGATGGCTGGGCAACTGGTTCGTGTCCGCATCGTGTCGCGGGTTCGATTCCCGCCCGGAACAACTCTATGTGTGATCTACAGATTGTTGTTCCGAGTCTGGGTGTCCTGTGTATGTGGACTTGTATGTATGTAAACGCACCCACGATACAAGAGAAAAACCTAGTGTGGGGCAACGTTTTAAAAAGAATCTACTTAGTACCTACCTATTATTTTAAACACTGACCTATCCAGGAATTGAACTCACTAACTAGGTACCTTTATTCTTGTAACTTTTGCGGTGAACAAACGATAGATGGGTCTTCTAAAATCTCCTATATCCAAGAGGTAACCAATACCAAATTAAGTTCATTGCTGTTTGACATATTCCTTCAAGAATATTGCTCTTTCGCGTACAATAGTACGCGCAGTCGCGTAGTAAGTGCCTACATAGCTAAATCTTGGCGTAATTAATTAAGTCTATGAATTTATTAAAACGCGAGGGAGAGACGGCGCCGGTGCGTGAACGGCACCGCGCATGTAGATTATTATATACCGCACCGCCTCGTACAGGTGTGTGGCCGCGTGGAAGTGAACGGATCGTGTTACTGTTAAACGATTTCCGAACGAATAAATTTCTTTCAGTTGGATTTTTGACACTGGACATTGACAGTTAAATTGTTTGCCAGCAAACGTCACAACAATCCGTGAAACACGAAAACTAAATAGTTTATTATCGTGTTTGTTTCATATTTAATTGTACAAGTATGTAAGAATCGAGTAATTGTAAGATTCAGTGTGTTTTGCAAGACCCACGCCCACCGCTTGAGATTCAATTGCAAGAGAAACGTAAGCAGCGATCTCTCCAAAATACAGTTATTTCTTAACACACAGTTTAAACTATAAAGTATTTTTAACTTACAATGTAATAATTGTGTTCAAACTAAAGTAAAACATCTTAGAAACCATTAATTTTAAACTAATTACCGCAATGCAGAGGTTATAATATCGCACTATATTAAATACGTATCCAGATGGATGGAACATGATGGTCCTATGTTATTTAACTCGTCGAGTACCGGTTTTCTAGACACAATTAAAGAACAATAGGTCGCGGTCACCGGTGACCGCTCGGTGTTTGACAGTTTAAATTATCATCTAGAGAAATTAAAACGAAAAAATGAATCCATGAATGTGTTGCTAAGCGTTTTGTGCATAATTTCAATGCTACTTGGATATTGAAAGAAAAAGTTGGCAACTTCATAGGAAAAGTATGGGAAAAGCACTCGTGCGAAACCCCCGCGGGCGGGTATTTACCATTAAATATTTAGCGATACTTGCCTTTTCATCGATCGACTACTTGGCATAACATTTTGCCGCATCATACCTATTATCTTTCAATTATTAATATGGCTTACGGCCAGGCTTAACTCGACGAGTACCGGTTTTATAGACACAATTAAAGAACAATAGGTCGCGGTCACCGGTGACCGCTTGGTGTTTGACAGTTTAAACACTAACTAGTATCTTAAGTACTGAAAGGTTTTTTCTTCATTTTACCTAAAGTCATGTCAGAACTGTCTAAAACAGTTGAACTAAGAAAATAACATTAAAAATGTCGGCTACATACACATTTTTAAGACTGGTGTTGCTTGTGTTCATGAGCGGCGTTAATCGCTTACCTACTGGCAATCCGTCTGCCCCTTTGACCCTATAATCCATGTACTCCACATTCACTTGTTCCAGAGTCGATGAAATTAGTTTAAACAATATGGCACTCTCTTATTTCTATATAAGAGCATCTCTCCTAGAAGAAGAGGATGACGATTGTGAACGTGCCCGCAAACGTCGTAAGTTAAGGGAAAAGTTCAATCCCGCCAAAATCCCTGACAAGGAGTTTTTATACAAATACAGAGTAACTCGGGAACTGTATGAAGTATTATGTGATGAATTAATACCATTGTTGCGTCCTAAGAAGAGTTGCACAGGTTTAGACCCTAAGTTAAAGGTAAATACTGTATTTATACCCTTACTTTTTAAAGGAGTAATTTAAGAATTATTTTATTAGTTTTATTGTCATACATCGGGAACTGAAATTCAGACTAGCCCCTAACTGAGCATTTTCATTAACTTAAAAGATGATGAAGGTAAATGGGCACAATAAATTGATTTTATTTATAATGTAAACAAAAAAAATATAGACATCTCTAGGGAGGTTAATTTCAGAAGTGTTTATTATTTTAATTAAAAACACACTTGCTTATTTAAAAATATCACAATAGGTGCTGTGACCTATCATGTTTTATAGTCATACACATACTATTTAATAAATATTCATACTATTAACATATAAGTTGTACCATTATTCGACAGTTGTTAGACCAGTACTGGAAAAATCTGCAGAATATCTACTTGAAATTGATGCTCTATTTTTAGATCCTAGCCGCTTTAAATTACTATGCTTGGGGCCATTTGCGTGGGGTTACAAATAGACGCTGCAGGATGTTGCTCTCTAAACAATCCAGGACTCGCTGTACAGGTGAAGTGACACGGGCTCTGAATGATCCTAGCATTTTAGAGAAATTCATACAGTTCCCAGAGACTCAGGAGGACAGAGAAATGAATAAACAGAAGTGAGTATTTCGTACCTCTATTTTGACTTTCCAAGAGAGTAAGTATGGTTACAATAAATCTGGCTTTAAAATTCATTATTAACATTAATTTTATAGTCTGTAGACAGGCTGCAAATGTTTTAAATGCATTTTTTTTTTTGTATAAACTGTCTGGAAACTGGAATATAATAATTAAATGTAAAAGACAAAAAAATTACATTCTTAATATTTTAAGTTTTCTCCTTATAATAAATTCCTCCATTTCTTTGCAACAACAGATGATTTATATTATAAAAATTGTTTTCACAGATATTACGAGAAGTTTGGGTTCCCGAATGTGTTAGGCTGTGTCGACTGTACCCACGTGCTGGTGCTCAAACCTCCGACAGACGACCACTACTTATACCTGAACAACAACAGTCATACGGTGTTTTCGCAAATTGTAAGTACCTTTATCAAATCAAATAATTACCTTGAGTCATTCCAGTGTACACCTAGATTGTAGTTTGACGTTCAAAAGTGCCATCCAGGTCTAATTGAAATAAATGATTTTGACTTTGACTTTTGACTTTGAGATTAAAATCTCTCTATATAAACGTTTTGACACATTGCGAGTTAAATTAGTTTAACAAAAACTGCTAATAGGTATGGGTAGGATGTGTCACATCAACTTAATGTACAGTTTTGTGTCGTACCTCTTTGGGAATTCCTGCGAATTAATTCTTATAATAGATTTTCCTAGTTAAAATTATGATTAACTAAAAATCGCGGGTTACTCACGTGACTATACTGAAAAAAGCTCTACTACTTACTTTACTTTACTTAAAATAACTACAGAGGGGTTCTTCCACATGAGCAGCGTGCGCGGTCGCGGCGATGTCGCGCAGCCTACTGGCAGGCTTTTCTCAGTGAGTAACCCGCGGTTTTAGTAAGTCTCTAGATATTTATTATAAAAATTATCATTACTAGCTTGATAATTCGGTGGTTTTAATTTCCCTACTTCAGAGCGCCTATTTCTACAGATAAAACAGATGATATAATTTTAATTACCTACATAATTTCGCAGGTGTGCGACGCTGACTGCAATATCATAAGTGTGGACTCGTCTCACGGTGGAGCTTCGACTAAACAGAATGTATGGAATGCCAATCCCCTTTCTAATCACATGCAAAATCTTGACGATACTGCTTACATTCTTGGTGAGTATATTGTTATAAGCAGAGCTTTAGATATGCGCATTAAGGGCTCTAAACTCTGTGGAAGACTTAACGGGTTGCCGAGGGTCCAGCATAAAGAGCCAGTAAGAGCCTGACACTCCCTCTCGCTTCACACAAGGCAGGAGAAGTCATTGGACAATTTTTCCCCCATCAATAAAATGCCCTCAAACTGTCAAATATTAAGCTGCTCTTATCCATTACATCCCGACGAATAACTTCAACGTTTTTCTCCTAAGACAGAGATGCTCATATCATTATAACACCCATTTTTCCTTAGTTATCAGTCTCATTTTGTTAATAGGGGAGACTCGCTATTCATAGGCACCTCCATGTTAGAACTTAGATTGAGCACATTTGATACTATGTACGTGTGCGTTACCCAGGCCAGATGTTGTCGAAAATGATCATTTGAATCTTATAGATAATGAATTTTGCGGCTTCCGTAATTGTTGACATTTTTAATTTGTTGCGCTTATAGTTTTTTAATTATTTTACAAAAACATTTCCTGCTGGGGTTTTTTTTTTTTTTTTTTTTTTTTTTTTTTTTTTTTAAGGGGGGAAAATCATCGATGAGGCGGGAGGGAGTGTCAGACTCTTACTGACTAAAAACCACCCCGTTCCTTCTCCTGCACGTCGAGCCGGAGCCCCGGTTACCCGTTAGGTTCTCCGCGACTCCGAATCGGCATCGGCCCTATTGGACCCCATCTGTGGTGGTCTGATGGCTCTTTGAGGCGCGCGCGGAACGCGACGCGCCGTACGCTCGGGTCTGTTTCTGGTCGGACGGGGAGCCACCCATGCTCGCCGTCCGCAGGCCCGCTTCCTGCTGGGGTAACTTTACCCCAGCCACACCTTTTTTCTTTTTAATGGGAATATTTAAATAATTACTAGCTATAAAATTAGTTATCTAGATGAAGTAAATGTTGTGCCTTATTTTGTATTTGTTCTTCATCGGTTGCGAAGTTATTCGAGATTTTGCTGGGGTAACGTTTTTGGTTTTGCTAGATCTTTGAAATGGTTAAGCGGATTCTTATCATATTTTGTACATGGCTTCTTAGGAATTAGTTTAAATTTGTTGTGCAATAAAAAAACCAAAACAATACATAGCTTAAAGGTTATTTCATTAAATAGAAAAACACTTCAATTGGCCCCAGCACTCTCAATAAGATCTCTAAAGACTTACTTTATATTCTGCGTTTTAGCTTTTTCGTAATCACCTTAACTTGGTCGGATTATGACGATCATTCACTTCCTAATGACTTTGATCGTATTATCTCATTAGTAATCCAATGTACTGAGCTGAAATTTTACTGATATACAACTGAACTAAAAATCTAATAATTGACATACCATTTAGTTCATATATCCAATCCAGTGACCAAATAACACCGTGCGCATCAAGACCGTGCTCGTGAAGAACTCAATATCATCATAACTTCATCTAGACAACTAATTTTATTACTAGTAATTATTTAAATATTCCCATTATAAAGAAAAAGGTCTGGCTGGGGTAACGTTACCCCAGCAGGAAATGTTTTTGTGAAATAATTAACAAACTTTAGGCGGAACAAATTTAAAAATGTGCGCAACAGTTGCAAAAGCCGCAAAACTAATTATCCTGAATGTTATAAATTCAAATGACCATTTTCGACGACATCTGGCCTGGGGAACGGACACAGCTAAATAAATAAATTATTTTTTCAGGAGACTCGAGTTACGCTCAACAAGACTACCTAATGACTCCGATAAAAGATCCTGCAAAATTAACTCCAGAAAGTAGATATAACGTTATTCATAAAGCAGCGCACTCCACTGCCACCCAAACGATACGGGAATTAAAATCTAGATGGCGTTGTCTCTTAGCTAACAAACCTCGTTACTTCTTTGACATGATGGCGAAAATTTTTAAAGCGTGTTGCGTTTTACATAATATTTGCAACATGGCGGGTCTGAAAGCTCCTGAAATGACCTTAAAGGATGTTCGTGGTGAGAGAAGGAGATATAAAAATGCGAATTGTTGTGATTATGAGGATAGTAGTGCAGGTGTAGAAGCTAGAAGTCAGTTGGTGGAGTATTTTGAGACGGTGCGATTTGTGCACAATAAAGCAAAAACTATCGCTCGTAGGATGCGTTAATAAGGTAGTATTCTACATTTTATTTTTGGTAGATTATTTTAAAACATTAGACACGTATTTTTTCTTTTCTTACGAAATTAAATACTTTCGACGATAATATATTGATTTGAAATGTCGTGTGACGTCACTATTTACTACATTTTATAGGGTAGTGTGGCGTAACAACCTCCCACTCCTAAACTTAACTATGTTTTATCTAAATATTGTTTTCTTATGCAACAAAATAAAAAAGTATGAGTAATATTTTTTCATTATCTAACTGACGGACTAATTACACTTTTATTTTCATACAATAGTAGGGTACAAAATACAATAGGGTAGTAGACAACCTTATTGTGTTTTAACCCATGAAGCTGGTAGTTTGCTCGTTTAGAAAGTTACACGAGTAACCCATAACGCATAATTTGTAATTAATTTTATGTCCCCTGAATAATTAAGTTAAAACTTAAGTCTTTTTTATGATTATCTTCTTATAGAGTTTGGTTAGATAGTAAGTAGGATAAGAATATTTTATAAAGTAAATTGCTGATTCTTGCTTTACGCATGTGTAATAAATATGAAAATATAGTATTTCAGATGAAATAAAACGTGTTTCATTTATTTTTACTCTAGAAAATAGATATACTGGAGTAGTTAGGTCTGTCTATTGAAACAGTGTCCGTTACCCAGGCCAGATGTAGTCGAAAATGGTCATTTGAATCTTATAAACTCGTCAAAACTAAATAGGGCCCACCCTGTTTTTATGTTTCTGGTTTTAAGAACAGATATATTTAGATAAGGTATTTAGACATTGTTTAGACTTATTAAGTCTCAAATTTGTGATTTTTTTTTAAATACTCACAAAATAATTTTTTTAGAGAAATTGCACCACATTACCCAGAATGTAAAACTAACTGTTACCTACCTAACCAAAAGATAGTATAATGTTCTGCGTTTTCGCTTTTTCGTAACCACCTAAACTTGGTCGGGTTACCACAGTCACACACACTTCCTTATTACTTTAATCGTATTATATCATTAATTATCCAATGTACTGAGCTAAAATGTTACTGATATACAACTGAACTAATAAACTAATAATTGATATAACATTCAGATCATATATCCAATCCAGTGGCAAAATAACACCGCGCGCATTAAGACCGTGCTCGTGAAGAACTTAATATCATCATAACTTGTTAAATACTGACAGAATACTAATAAAACTTCACATACATTTGAAGGCAGTTACAAGCTTTAAAATAACATTTATTTAAAGTAAGACTTTAGAGATCTTATTTAGAGTGCTGGGGCCAATTGAAGTGTTTTTCTATTTAATGAAATAGCCTTTAAGCTATGTATTATTTTTTTATTGCACAACAAATTTAAACTAATTCCTAAGAAGACATGTACAAAATATGATAAGAATCTGCTTAACCATTCCAAAAATCTAGCAAAACCAAAAACGTTACCCCAGCAAAATCTCGAATATCTTCGCAACCGATGAAAGCACAAATACAAAATAAGGCACATTTACTTCATCTAGACAACTAATTTTATAGCTAGTAATCATTTAAATATTCCCACTAGAAAGAAAAAGGTCTGGCTGGGGTAACGTTACCCCAGCAGGAAATGTTTTTGCGAATTTTTTTTTTTTTAAAGCGTAGCCCCACATTAGGATTTTCTCCTGTGTCGTGGGTGCGTTTACAAACATACAAGTTCACATACACAATGACACCCAAACCCGAAACAATAATTTGTGGATCACACAAAGTGTTGTTCCGTGCGGGAATCGAACCCGCGACACGTTGCACGGCAGCCGGTTGCCCAGCCACCGCACCAACCGTGCAGTCGATCAATTAATAAACTATAAGCGCAACAATTACAGCAGTACCAAAACTTATCAAATTATCTTTAAGACTCAAATGACCATTTTTGACAACATCTGGCCTGGGTAACGCACACGTTGTAACAAAGTTCAACAGAATCTTATCTTTTCCTTAAATATTTCTTTTTACACAAATAAAAACCCATATAAAGATTGCAATAGAACTCATTTTATTTGTGATAAAAATATTATCAATAGGTAAACTTAACAATACGTCACAAAATTGACTTATTTTACTGATCCACTTTACCTATACCTAGCATTTGTTTCATAACTGCTAGCATTTCTTGCATAGTTTGTCTGATTTCTGCCAATTCCGCCGTGCCTTGTTGTAAATTCACCCTTATTACTGACAGCTCAGAGTTTCTTTTTTGATCATTCTTTATTCTTTCCTCTTCGAGTCTTATGAATTGTTTAGTGTAGGGATCCATACACGCCTTCAGTCGTAAGTTGCCTCGAAAGCCCTCTGTGGAAAAAAAATGTGTTAGTAGGTATTAGTTTCTGGCCTTATTGATTTTCACTAGTTTGAGGCAAGGAATTTTGCCCACCTATCAAAAACCACTATTTTTCATATATGTTGATATAATGTAGTGTACATTTCAATCACATTAAACTGCTTGAAAAGCTCGACTAATTTCAAGCTGCACCGGGTCTCATATTCATGAGATGCGTGTGCAAAGACGTCGCGCAGGCGATTTTGATTTTCAAATCAGTAGAGATTTTCTTAAATAATTCACATGACATGAGTAGGTTAGGTAGGTGTTGTATATTTATTAATAAAACATAACTGGTAACTGACTGGTAATCTTTGATAAATGTTAATTGATTCAGTTGTTAATAAAATGAGTTATCACACCAAATTAAGAAGTCCGACAAAGTAATAAGTGATTAGTTTAGAATTCTGATAAACTGAAATAAATGCTTTGTTTACCTCCTGGAAGTACTGCCTGTGGAGAAGGGGGATCCGAAAGAGAAGGGGATGATGGCGGATCAGGTCTTTTGGCTTCCTTCGAATTCTCAGGAGGTCGTGAAACCCCTAACTGCGATGGAACCATTGGGGAAGGAGGGTCATCCTCGGGACAATCGAATTTTATTCTTTCGGCAACATTAGGAGAGTCCTTCTTGCCATCTGATAATTTGGGGGTGTCTGTCAGCCTCGCTTCGACTACCTTGGGAGAATCAGTTTTCCTGCTCCCATGAGAATCTTTTATGTCTTCTTTCTTCTTCTTCGTGCGAGGTCTCCATGGAGTATATTTCTTTTTCGGTTCCGGTGGCCCGGCTGGTTCCTCCAGCACCTCCGGTTCTTTTGGTTTCGGCTCAAGTTCCGCTTTAATTGCATCTCGCTTCTGAGCTAAAGACTCGGCTATAAAATCTTGTGGTTTTACTTTCGGTTTTATTTCTTGTTTTACCTATAAAAATAGTAAATAATTTATTAGTGTAACTATCATATGGTGCAGGAAAACATCGTGAGGAAACTTGATGGCTTAGTACTAGTTTGTTTTTCTTTTAAGATCGAAACGTTACCGCGTTTTCGTTTGATGGGCCTGCTCCATTGAACTAACCAATCAGGGGGTCACGATAACGTTTCAGTCTTGTTTAACGTAACACAAATTCGTACTGGTGGCGTATTATAACGTATTAAAGCTAGAGTGGTTCAGTTGAGGAAACGAGATCTCGTTAGACGACTTGTATAGCTGTTTCTTTCCCTCAATGGAATCATTCCAACTTTAGGACGCCATAATAACCTCGTTGGACCCTAATATGAACTAATCGATGTTTATAAAGAGATTGATGAACGTAGAGGAAGACAAAGAGGTATGCAAAAATCGTCTCATGGCGTTACATTGCCTCTGCCTTACTGCATGGGAGAAAGGTGTGGTGGAGTTGATGATGATGATGATACTAAAGAACTAAATTAACTAAAATCGCGGGTTACTCACGTGAATATACTGAGAAAGCAGCATGCGCGGTCGCGGCGACGTCGTGCACCCCATGAGGAAGAACCCCTCTATGGTTCGAAACTAGTAGAGCTTTTCTCAATATATTCACGTGAGTAACCCGCGATTTTAGTTAATTTAGTATGTCTCACGATAGTTATTATAAAAATGAAAGAACTAACCTCAGTTCGATCAGATTTCTTTGGCCAGGCGGGTAGCGTGGAGTCTGAGACAATCGTAGGCGGTATAGCCTCACCCAGGATTTTGAGGATCTTCTTATCTTGCTCCGTCAACTGTAGAGACGGGGGAGTACCAGTTGATGCTGCCGCAAAATGGACGGCAGCTGTCTTTCTTGCCACGTACTTTCTGTCTGTCCATACCTGGAAATAGATTAGGAATCTCCATCAATCAAAGGCCATGTCTATTGGACATAGCGTTCCTCCAATATGGAAATTAGAAGAGGATGTGCCATAATCCTTACGCTTCGAAAGCGGCTTTCGTTACGCATTTAGGTAGCCGAAAATTTGGACTATATTTGTATAACTTTGCTATATCTATGATTTTGAACCAACAAGCTTATTTTCCAACTATTTGTTTTTACTATGATTTTGTGGACATAATGGTGTGGGTTACATAATTTAACTATACATCAAGATAAGAGAAATAGATCGTGTGCATTACCCAGGCCAGATGTTGTCAAAAACGGTCATGTGAATCTTATACGTAACTAGCGGACCCAACAGACGTTGTCCTGCATATCCTTGAATGTATAAACAAAAATTGGATAAGATAATATGAAATTGAAAATCTCATGGTTTCACATTCATCAATTGTAAGCAAAATATTTGTGATTAGATATAAGTCGATTGTTCATTTTATGAATGACCCCTGTCAGTTTGGTTTACGGGTTAAGCATGAATATTAAGCATTTGGATTCGGATTAGTTAGAGCAAGGAGTATCAATGGGTTGTTTTTTATTCAGTTCACACTTGAAGAACATACTTTGATACATGATCTATTTGTGTGCGTTACCCAGGCCAGATGTTGACAAAATGGTCATTTGAATCTTATAGATTATTAGTTTTGCGGCTTCTGTAATTGTTGCGCTCATTTTTTAAATTTGTAGCGCTTATAGTTTTTTAATTATTTCACAAAAATATTCTCTGCTGGGGTAACGTTACCCCAGCCAGACCTTT